ACCTCGTTAACTGAAGGTAAATACCTTAAACGGGGAGCATATGGCGCAGAATAATTGAATAAATATTCAAATGATTCGACGTAGGGGACGGTAATCAAATAAGGTGTTACATACCCACCCCTGCAGGACCGCACATCCACCCCCGAGCAAGTGGTCATGCTGATTGATACATTTCGCACACCCCCACCGCGGTGGTGTGAAAAGCTTGCCATGCACAAATTGATTGCATATCAATGCAGTTTGGAAGATATATGGACAGAAGTCAAATAAAAGCATCTGGTCGGCAATGAAATTCATTAGTGGAATTGGGCTAGGTCCGTGAATTATGCGACAAATCCAATGTTGTACGTACATGTTTAAGTGATTGAATCTATCGAGTCCAGTAAGTAATGAATACTTGAGGCAAAATGTGGCAGTTTTTCGCGGAAAGTAAGGGCTAACATAAAAATGACTTATAGAATTGAACCATGGTCATAGTAAGATTAGTAAGTTGTTAACAACTGCCTTTGATTAAAATATTGAATACAAAATGTATACGTGACGGTTTGTAACAACAATTGCAGTCATTCTAAAACATGGTTAAGATATATTCTTCTTCTGGAGGACAACTGAACTAATGTAAAGAAATGTACCATTTGCAACGATAAATATTACATGTTACACCATTGCAAAATAGCTTTTTTGCATTCTCGAATAGTTTTTGTACCCACTGGCGGTCACAAAAGATTTTTTTAATATTGTCCCAATAGCTGAACGGATGGAAGGGAAGATAGAATACGGCAATACGTCTAATTTAAACATCACCGTTTAATAAATGCTTGTAACTCTTAATATCGAACATCTGCGTTATTCCAAATTAAAGTACAGCCCAGTTTTAAGTTATTTCGATGTAGACGGCTGTAAATCAGGGAAAGCGGCTGTTTGAAAATAAAGAGTACAAACAGATTGAAACATGTTTTCCTCTGCCCGCGGTGTTAACGTGGAAGCAGAAAAACAAATTTGTCAAAATGTCAAAGCGGGTAAAACGCCGCCACGTTTTTATTGTGTGTTTCGGCAATTTGTTAGGGATTCTTATAATTTTCAGCGGTAATTCAGTTACAGTGATTTATTCTCCTGGTTTAATGGCTCGCTTTCATTTCATTCATTGATGTCGGCTGCGCGGCTACGACTCGTCGCTTTTCGTGAATCGGGGGGAAAAACGATGATATCCTTGTTTTTGTGGTGGTCGCAAATAGCTGTCGTTGTCGATATTAATGCTTTTTCAATTCGGGTTTTCGTCCCAATTTGTCATACTGTACATCTGCTTCGATTTGAAATTGATATGACAGTGAAATTTACGACTGAGTTCCTAGAATGGAAAAAAGGAAAATGCTGAAGAGTTCATGGAATATCATTACTTTGAAGCGTTTTGGCGAATGGAAAAACGACAAAGGATATCAAGATTGGGGCAAACATTTTTAACGATAACAATGCTCTGGCTTATACGAAATTTTGAAATTCGAGTTTCCCTGTGGATTCCTTGCGAGTGACATATCTGCGGATGATAAAAGTTTTAAGGAATAATCAGGCGCTTCTATTTTCTATTCATTTATACGGCGTCGATTCTAAAACACCGACATTACAAAAGGAAATAGCCGAGAAAGTTCTCGTAGAAACCGCCATCGGAAAACTATTATGGAGAATTTGCAGTGTCATATCTGTGCGTGATGGCGGCCTCTTGTTGGCGAGCTTTTTGTCTGAGATTGTATAGATAATTGAAAACGAGAGTTAGATTGGGTATCGATTACCGTGACTCGAGCTTCTGGTGTGACTGCTCTTTGCGGATTAGCTATTTTATTGTTTTAATATGAAAATCTGGACAACAAAGATAACGGAAGACTAATTCATATCAGCTGGATCAGTTTGTGAACATCCTGTATACAAATTTAGCTCTGTCTCTTTCTAAAAAAATCATCTAGCACCATCATTATCGCGCGTATCGCAAACTTCCACGTATCGCGCCCCGCCGAGCGCACTCCGAGCTCCTTAATTCCGTCATTATTGCAATTTTTCTTAGGCGAACCGTGTCCCATCAGAGGAATTCTATCAATCACTCTTAACGTCAGTGCCGGGGAAGGGGGCGCCGCGCTCCTTTAGTCCGGCAGGCCGGCTACGGGGATTACCCGGACTTAACGGGCGCTGTTGAAATATAAATCCATCAATCAGGCCCCGAGTCGATTCATTACGCCCCGGAATGGGATCGGGGACGGCGTATCATTATGCTGTGTTGCGGCGATTGTTTGCCCAGGTGCGCGCCGCCCGGCGTCCACTTTTAAATGTGTTAACGGTCTACCAGGAATCAATCCCGTCGCGGTTTCGGCTTAAGAGGAAAAATAAATACGTCTTCGGAGTGCTCGCTGAACAAATAAATGTTCGACGTCTAAGTGCTGCCACACGATTGCACAATTCGCGTTGTGTAATGAGATACTGTAAATATATATAAATTGAAATACGCCTACGAGTCTTCCGCGTTTCGTCAGACGTGGTTTTTTTTTCTTTTCTTACGCGGGAAATGTTGATAGGGAAAACTCTTTCTTTAAAATCTGCTACAGCTTTCTTTAACTCTGTTTTGAATTTTTGACCCCCCCCAATTTGGAGAATTCTTAAAGAATTTGCTTATTTTGATATTTTTGCATTTCTATCCCCGTAAACTGTGGATTTTACTTTATTCTTGATACCAAAACATTTTTCCCAACAGAGTAAAAGATATGTCTCAATTAACTGCAGGATTATTTTTCTTCTTACCGCTTTCCATTTTCAATAAAACTATGAAAATTTTCCATCCCTTTATTACCAAAATCAATGAATGCGATGAATATTACACATGACATTTCCGTATACATTATTAATAGTATGCTGTTGGGTTTTATTGAAATTTGACGAGACTTAAAAAATAAGTGGTAATTAAACAGATTTATTATAACATGACAATTGTGCCAGGAAAATTGAATAATATTAATTCCCTTAATAAATATTTAATTTAAACGAACAATCGGAAAATTGGTATGGATGAAAACTATTTACATAAAGTAATGGATCATTTGTGACAGCGCAGGTTTTTCTATGGACCATATTGATTGATTAAGATATAATTGTACTTGAATTTTATTCAAACTGTGTATTGACCGCAAAACTTTTGTTGTTCAATATAGCCTTGTTATATTTACGAACCTACACTGAAAAAAAAGTATTTGGATCAAATGAGTAGATAGTTTTAAATGGAATTATTTGCCGTAAACGTTATTTTATTCTATTCAAATGTATACACTTTCGTCAAACTATGTGAAATATTTGCTGTAATCTATAATTTTTCTTAAAATTTATATTATTTGTAAATAATATATATAATTTAATTCAAATATTTTATAGTTTTGAAATTTATTATCTCGGACTTTAGCTACAATATCTCTTACAGTGTTTCAAAACTACCAGTTTCTTAAAATATACCTATATGTATATTTAAAATTTAGTGTTAATGTAGGAATTATTCAAGACAAATGTAGCATATTATACCTAATCAAACTTATGTTTTCTTGAAAGAAAATTGTAGCAGATCACAGAATGGCGTAGGTGGAAAGTAGCACGATAGATGGAGCCACTTTCGCTCTATTATACACATAACCTTGTGAGTAGCGACACGAAAGCAGCTGAATCGTTCTAAGGACATAATGATGAGGACCATCATTAAATCATCAATAAAAAGTCCCAAACAGGCCTATGTCTGGTTGGTTAAACTTACAAACGATCCTAGCTGTTGTACTAGGTTGAAACAAATATTTTTTATTACTGAGAAATATTTATATCCAAATATAATCTTAAAATAAGTATGTACAATCAATTGACCAAAACTATTCAATTTTGTATTCAACAAACGATACAACATACAATGTAAAATATGTTTCTATAAAATCTATGTAGATCATAAAATTAAGAATAGAATTCGTTTAATCGTAAGTAGCAAATATTTATTTTAAATGCTGCCTATTTTTAAAGTAAGAAATTATATTTCTGGGTAGAAATTTATATAACATCAAATGTTGTACATTTGAAGCAATACATTTTTTTATTAAATATATCCTTGTTATATTTGCGAACCTAGATTTAATATTAGAGATATTTTATGTAATTTTGGTTTAGGTGAAACCAATTTTTCAATGTTGGAGCTCAGCGGAACTAATATCCTGTTACATAATGTGGAATCTGAATAGAGAATAGATACTACTGTGTATTAGCCATTTCGATCACATCGGCTTTCATTTAATATTCCTTGTGTTACGTTGCCGGCTCCTTTGTCAATTTAACGATTACGTCTAAATAAATTCGGTAGCTACGTGTCTGTAACAGAGTACGCGCATAATTTTGTCAACTCTTTAAAATGTATTAGTAACACTGTGATCATTTGGTTTTTGTTCTCGTTGCATTTTTTAAAGGAAAAACATTTGTTTTTCATCAATGTTTGATTAAATTAATGCTGTTTTGTGTACAGGGTCTCCTAGAAAGACTGGGACACCGATCTACGATAGTCTTCTGTAAATAATATAAGACAGTTTAGGTCAGCCAGTCAAATTGGTCTTGTCTTCGAGATGCGCGGGTCAAGAAGAGAGTCAGTACTAGGAATGACAAAGATAGGAGCACACACATATTTTTTTAAAAAGCTCTATTTTACTAAAGTTCCAGGGTGATTGTTTAAATTTTGGAGATTACTCTTCATCTCTCTAAAACGTTTAAATAGTTGACAATATTTTTTTGCGAGCAAAACCTTATTAGCGTAAAAGGCAAGTACCTCTGGTAATCCTTCGTATGTAGTAACGCGATGTCCCAGCAATAAAATAAATTCCCGTGTCCCCTACGCCCGAATCTTAATTAAAACCATAAATACAGAATCCCTTGCCTCCCAGTCCCCCGTAAAATCACCACGACGCCGCTCCTTTACAAATACTCATGTGCCGCATTTGTTACAGATTGATATGGAAATAATAAAAAAGACGGATTACGTTCCACCCTCGGAGAGAAACATGAATGGCCACCACCACTCGCAGCACTCTTACCAGAGGCAGCAGGGCTGCGGAAGAGTACACGACAGAGAGTGGGAGGCTCCAGTCAATGGTCGCGCGAAGCCGCGATCAGCCGTTCCAGTGCCTGCCCCAACACCGGCGGCAGCGGATGCCAGACGCAGACCCAAGCCGAAGGCCCAGATGGAGACGCACGCCCATCAGGGCAACCGCAATGCCAAAATCAAAAGTAAGACCCCCTCGCACCACCAGAGAGCGGCGCCACAGAGGAACGGCCCGTCCGCCGCGGCCCCCCAGGCCGCCGAGAGGGTCAAGGGGGTCGTGGGTTATCACCAGAGTGCGACCGCGTGTTACGTGGGGGGCATGCCGGGGACGGTGCACGATAGTGGCGGTGTGTACGGTGTTTACGCGGAAACTAAGTACATTTACGCTGTGAATGGATTGCCGGGAAATCCTGCCCAGGCTTCGGCCGCAGCGGCTTTCTTTGCAAGGTAGGGTTTCAATTTGTACGATTTTCTCGACCGCAGGAACTTTGCGATTTCTATGTAGCCACGAGAATTGTCGAGAAACGGACGCAAAAGTCTTCCAAAGTTTTGAATAAGCTTTAGATTGAAGAGTTAATATTATTTTTTTTATTGTTTACTTTTTAAGGATTTTTTTTAATACATATTACCTTTCTAACAGATCACTGGAAGTTTAATATCCTGATTTTACATCGACTGAAATTGTTGCTACTTCTGGTGTACCTCAAGGTTCAGTTCTTGGCCCGCTATTGTTCAGTATGTTCGTTAATGATATTAGCGATAATCTAACTAAAGTTCTTTTATATGCACATGACTTCAGACTGTTACACCCATTGAAGACTCTATTGTTCTCTAAAAAGATCTGTCTGTTAATAATAAACTGCAATTACGTACAAAAGAATTTTTAACTAGTGATATTACATGTATCTAATCCATATAGCATTGTATTGTATCATTCACCAACTTTACAAATAAATTATGTGTCTAAATCATAGAATAGGGTAGGGGATCATTTTTTGTATCAACAAAAGAAAAAATCTGGCAAAAAGAAAGTGAAGAGGCAGAACAGCCTCAAGCGAATCCTCGAAAACTGCTTAGAAAAAAAAATAACCGAGTTATCTATATTGGTAATAAAATATCCTTTTGGGCTATATATTTATCTCATTTAGCGATGGGAGAATTTATTTCCAAGTTTTATGATGCCAGAGAATATGGAGCTCGCCAGCACAATATATTTTATCGACTTATTAAAGATTACAGTGCTATTCAGCTGCCAACTTTCGATTTAATGATTGATGCGCCTCTCTTCCAGAAATTATTAAACGCCATACAATTTAAAGAAGCCATTTGTAACTGCACTGTTCGATTTAAGAGAAATATTAACCCTGAACTTGCTCGGCAGTCGCTTTTCCATATTTCTCTCTCTACTTGAATGTTAAAAAATAGTATTTGCCATATTATTGACCACATGTACAGTGTCCCATTAAAAAAAACTGGGGATAGTTCATATCATTTTTCTCATTACTTTTCCAACTATCTTTCAGTATGTCAGTATGAATATGTCACCATTTGAATACGAATAAAAAATATCAACTAAATTTTTTTTTCTTAAAACACATTTTAAGTATAAATGGAGACCCTAACAAGGAAAAGAACATGCTTTGTTTTCAGGCGTGTACACAAAACAAAAAAAGAACTATTTTTGATGCGCTTATGGTGAACAGTCATGAGTTTTAAGCTAACGATTGAACTTTACAGTGTACACTTTCGTCTTAAAATGAGCAAAGTACTAAATTATTATTAGAGTAACTACATATATAAAACTTATTCCAAAATGGCTGTCACCGTATATCAAACCACCATGGCACTTTAATATCCACTCTTTACAGCCGCTGTACTGTTCTTCAGAACGGCACTGAATACTTTACGGTGTCAAGAGACCTTAACCTTCCTACACCTGCTATAAACAATAATGCATTTTCTTTACGCCGCAATAAAATATGTCGATGCTTCCAGGGCTCCGTGCTCAATGGACCAGTCGAAATTTATTGCAAACTAGTTCTCTCATAATTGAATTTCACGATCCAGACGAAGTACATAAAAATCCAGATGCACTACGGCATCTGATTACTTCGTGCTGGTAGTTACATCGACCGTTTGATCCGGCCATTTGAAATTCAGATCTCTGCATCGGATGCTGTTATTGTTGCCTTAACAGTGGTTTTGGCTTGGTAAAATCAGAGTCTAAAACGTAAAATTGGGTGATGCGTTCGTTGATTTGATGGTATCAGTTTCTCTCTGCTTTCTTTGGTTTTCTTACAACCTTGTCCTCATGGGTTTTTTCCAGTTATTGCTTTCAAACTGCTTAGATTTGTTGTTTTGTACCTTTTGAGATAACACTATCAAAAATATATGCAGGACATTGTCTGTTTCTTTTTTATTACCAACGGAAAAAATCATATTAAAAATTTATATTGTTGACATATAAAAAATATGACTAATTTTAATTTTTATTTAATTTTGTAGCTATTGCTACTCTTGAAAATGTCATTAAATTGTACGAATCTTAACCGTACCTTAAATTTAGATTTTTCCATTAGAGTTTTCGAACCCGCCAAAGTTCGACACGGCTTCTAGTTAAACATAAATTACAAACCTGACGTGGAAGCTGAATGTACATAATTTGAAATGTTTGTAATTGTCTTATTCCATTTGTATTATCTGTTCGTGACGTTCTTATTCCGGTGACATCCGTTTCACGAAATAATAACCTTCAACCCGGCCCGAATGGCATTTTTCCGTACGGCCACGCAATATTTAATTAACACCCTGCCACATAAAACCTAATGAATTTTCTCGGGTTATTTGCATGGGAATGGAAATTTTGGCAGTAAAATTTCGTGAAATACTGTTAGGAACCCGCCAAACGACTAAGCACCGTATTAAAATGGACCGCGCGTAAATATCCAGGATTTTTATCGTCGATTAAAAGCTCCTAAATTACATGATTCGTATTCAAGTCGATTAGCGCTATTAGAGTATGATAAATACTTTTTATTTATTTATTTGGATATTTCGCCACTTGAGGGTTATTTTTGTGAAAATAGTTTTGCCCAATCAAAAATCTCACGCCGAAAAAAGCAAGTAAAGAAACAACAAAAGAAAGCGCTGATACTGATTATAATCAAAACGAAACTTTAATGGCAACTATAAACTTTTCTACAATATCTTTCTTGCAAATGTTTCTTGCGGTATCATTTAGCCCATTTATGCGAAATATATTCCTCAGCTTCATTACTGCCGACGTTCAGAACAAACTATTCTATAAAAGAAATTCAACTAGTGGGATACACCAACCGCAATAGGTACATTTATTTGTTTTATGTGTATATTTCCTTGTGGAACTGCGGCATTGCGGCTGCTATAGCTGGACGTTATTGTCATACATAATTCAAAAGTGATATCATGTCTAGCAGTTTAAGTACTAGTAGTGCACACAACGACTTATTTAGTACAATCGAAAAGGGGAACAGTTTTTACTGCTTTTATCTTGTTATCTTTCAAAAGAACATTAATTTTATTCTCATTAAAACTTGGAAAAAATCCTATTGCGCCGGTTGATCAAAGGGGGGCTCAAAAATTTCACCTTGGTGTGAATTTGAAACTATTAAAAGCTTTTCTCGAGCGTGTTCTCTATAAATATTCTATTATTCTCTCAGGGTAAGGGGTGCATAAATAAATATGGAACTAATTAATATTAAAATCTCAGGGAGTGAGTTTTTAGATTTGGAAGAAAGAGAATTCATAGCACAATAAAGTCATTTCTTGATTAATGTTTGATTACATCAAACATAATAGATTTGTAGTGTAATATAATAGAAAAAGATAAATAATAGAAAAAGTGGTAAAAATATCTTCTTTTCTGTACATTCTCTTTATATTACCAAGCAAATTTTAGCTAATTCTGCTGATGTTAATAGAAATAACAAAAAATTGTGTTAAATATCTTCTGGTGAATTCTGTACATAAAACTATACACAAACAAAAAACTTTAACATAAATATCTGAGACAGATACAAGAACTGCTAATGGATAAGATACATTTTTGAGCTTGTACAATTTCTGATGTTACAGTCAACTTTTTTCTTGATAACTTTGGAGAGCAACATTTTAATGGAGAGAATTATGGTACATGTACATACATACATATACATGATAAATTTAATATAGCCTTCTTGTTGAAAGTAAACCGCGGGATACTAAATGTTTATTATTGAACGTCAACGTCTTGCTGTTCCTAATTTTATTTCTTTATTTTTTTTAATCCTTGTATCACCTGCACAATTTGTCTGTCTCTATATGGGTGAAGGCGAAGATTAAATATTTACCATGCACACTACGATCATATTAACGTTCTTTTATTGTTTTATTTGCAACGGTTAATCAGATATGTATATTAAACAAAGGCGGAGTACAAACAACAGCGGTCTGTGTGGATATCAGTAATCTGTTTATATTTCCTTATTTAAATAAATGACGATTTATTCGATTATATCTTTCATTCAATATTTGCCATCAGAACAAATACAAATAAACTATGTCGTGAACTTTAATAAGAACAGAGACATGTACAGGATGAAACATTAAGTGAAAGTCATTTTTTTAGTTGTCCCACAGTACTAATCTAATCCATTCCAATCGGAATTTCTTCCAATATTTATTTCAATCTGACAAGGAACGTACCTTTTTGTTATTACAGGAGATAGGATTTCAATTAAATTGCGAAGAATATATCAGCTTCTCCTTGAAATTCAAACAGACTGAAAGAAACACGTGGCATTAAAAAAATTCAATTTCCCTAACAAGGTCCTGGATTCTGTTTTTGCTTTTAGGGATTTGGGTAAACAGAAACATAATTTGTATTTTAAGTTAAATTATGTATACCTTTTACACAAATACAAAGCAAAAAAAGAACTCTGTGCAAAACAACCAACGTTTGATATATTTATTATTTCGTAATATATAAAAATATTCCCTATCTTCCTTTGTTTTGTCGATTGGTGACGCTGTATAGTTGACTGGACAGGTAAACGCTCAACAAAAGCTAACAGTGACATGTAAATAAATATGTATATGTATATGTATATAAATTGCCATAGATATTTGTTTTGTTTGTTTTCATTTGATATTCATGAAATTTATCAAATTGGTTTAATTAAACCACTCAGGCAGCAAACTGGTACCTACGTAATGAACTGTCACCACTGTGTAGTTATTGATTCATAAAAATATTGTAGTGCGTAGATACCTACACATTTGCTAAAAAAATGTTTTTCTGAAATAAATCCTCAATCCGTAAAATTTTTCACTATGCTTTTGAAATCAATACAAAAATTTTTTTCAAAAGTGTGGTGAAAAATGGAGGCGAATGACAAACTAAGTATATATTTTATTAGAATAGTGACATG